GCAGTTGCCCTGGCTGGGACCCTGCCCCATGTTTCTGGTCACCCCAGTCCTGTCCTGTCTGCCTCCAAGGGCCCTCTGTCTTCACGGCCCTGGGAGCCCTGCATCCGGCTGCTCCGTGCCCCAGCTCTCTCCTGGGTGCAGAGCCCGCCTTTCAGCTCCTTGCTGTCGGTTCACACAGAATCACAGAGCCTGCAGCTTCCAGATGAACCCCCGCGCAACATCCATGCCCCAGCGGCAGGGTCTGGCCACCCCGAGAGCACCTGAACCTGTGTGTGAAAAAAATCAAAAGTGGAAGAAGACCCTTCCTTCTACCGAGCCCAACTGAGCCTTCTTGAATACCTACCCTGGGCTCTATCCTTGCTGTGCCCCTCTATAAGAGGAAGTAGGTCCTCAGGCCCTGCCCCCCGATGCTGCCACCTAGGGTGGTTCCTTGGCTGGCAGCCCCTCAGTGTTGGGCTTGATCCAGCTGGGATACTGGTCTCAGCCCACCTGGCTCTGGCTGACTTAGGGGGGACAGAGAGAGCCGGGACCACACAAGGTCAAAGTGACTCAATTGCCCCCACTGCCCACTTTGCCAGCTATGGACACTGGCCTGCGACATCTCCTCTCTGGTGCCAAAGAGCAGGGAATGATCCAAGCGCTGATGGTTATTTAGGGTATCTGAGTTCATCAAGCAAGACCTCTGTCTTGGTCATCTCCCAAGCTTAATTTAAAGACCTGAGATACCAGGATCAGGGATCCCATGCCAGGTTGCCTTGGGTGTGAGGAGGTTGACCTTGGTAGCTCAGACCTTCAAGATATACCAAGACCAACCTCCACATACACAGGCTGGCCTGGTGCAGGTTCCCCAATCCTGGACGTGTCCTGTCCAGAGGGCTCTTATCCTGCCACAATGGCACCAGCACCACGGAAGGTGAGCAGGGACAACTTTGATCACACCGGCACTTCCATAAAGTGGCGTATCACAGGTAAGTCTTGAAATTTTATCATTTACACTGCTGCAACAAACTGTGCAGTTTACCACCCCCAGGAGGCCAATACTGAGATTCATCAACCCGAACAGAACTTGGATGGGGTGAGCGTCCTTACGTCCCTCCTCCTCACACGAGCAATGATCTGATGAGAGTTGACACCGACTCTGTCTGCTCACCAGGCCAGGTGCTGAGCTCTGACCAACACTGACAGCCTGACTCACAAGAACTGAGCGCCAGAGCCGGGTCCTCAAGAAGGGGTGGGGGCTTTGGGAGTGGCAGCCCCCCGCCCCCAGCTCCAGGGAATTGGGCAAACTCGTGTGCATGGCTTGTCTCTGAATTATCAATCTGCTTTGGACCAGACTTGTCTCTACAGTATAGTTAAGAGTTATTGCTTCTATGACAGGTGTTCCAGAAGCCTTGGTGGCTTTAGAGTCTGAGAAACACGGGCTGGCAACCTGGGTGGCTGGGTCTGTGGTGGATGTCTGCCTGCAGGACACAGACACCTGTGGGAGTGGACCGGCCCAGGGCCGGCGCGGTCCATGGAAGCATCTGGAAGCATTCCGGGGCTGTGTTCTACTCTATGGTGTCAGGCATGAAAGACATGCGAGGTTGCAAAGGGAAACACACGGGGTCGTTTCCAAAGGACCAGAGCATCGCCAAGCAGGGGCTGAAGTGGGTGTGGGACTTTTCTTCATTTTTGGTACGCGTAAACAGGCAGCACCTGTCATAGGTGCACTATGTACAGAGCCTCTTAAATAAATAATTTAGAATCCTACCCAACTGGCTCTAACATTTGTACATGAATATTGTACACGATTAAAAATAAATAAGGCAATATAATACAGTTTTCTCACAAATAAAAAGGAAGTCGTTTTTCACCAAACCCCAAGAAACATTATGGCTAAACACAGTTCCTGAACATTCAGGAAGCAGGTGGGGTTTGGAGCTGCTGATGATGGAGAGGTTTGCCCCCTGACATGGAGAACTTGCTGAGGCTTGCCGTGGGGTCCGTTTCAGAACAGCTGCGTGCCCAGAGAAGGCAGCATGGTCCCAGGGACAGCTTCCTCTTGCTGCTGTAGAAGTGGCCCCACCTTGAGTGGCTTCACAGACACACGTGCCCAACATCCTCGCTCTGTGGACCCCAGGCCAGACAGAGCAAGGTGCAGCTGACTGACTGTCTGCTCAGTCTCACAGGCCGAACTAAGGGGCCAGGCGGAGCTCTGCTCATCCTGGAGGCTTTGGGATGAATCTGCTTCAGGCTCAATCAGGTTGTTGGCGAATTCAGCTCCTTCCAACTGTGCAATGACATCCCCGCTTCCTTGTTGGCTGGGGCTAGGGCTGTGAAGCAGCCTCAGACGTTAACTTGCGGCCCCTTGTCTTTAAACCAGCAATGATGGCACCATTCCTGTCACGCTTTGAATCTGTCCCAGTTCCCCTACCTCTCTTGTCCATTTCAAGGCGCCATGTGGCTGCCCTGAGCCCAACTAGATAATCCAGCATCTTCTGCCACCCTAAGTCCCTAACCTTAATTCCATCTGCAAAGTCCCCTGTGCTGTGTGATAGCGCATAGCCACAGGGCCTCAGACTAGGGGGTGGACGCATTTGGTGCCAGTCCTCTGTCTAGTCCCCACCGCAGTGGCATTGGTAGAAACTGGAATGAGGAGAGCCAGGCTGTGCCAGGGAGACTCTCAGCCCTTCTGAATGACCCAAGGGATTGAGGACAACACTGTGAGGAGGCCAGGGCCGCTCACCGCCCTGCTGTGCACTCACTCGCCCCTTGTGGGTCTTTTCTGAGCTGACTGCTTCAAATCTGGTTGAGATGGATGGAAGGATGGATGAGAAAATCCTAGTGGAAAAGGGGACCATAAGGATGAGCCATTTGTCTGGAACAGAGGAAAGTGTGAGGGCAGAAACAAGGCAGGGCCCCAGTCAGAGCCAGAGTCTCAGCCCCTGGCTGGCTCAGACACTTCGTCCTCACAGTGAGCCTGCCCGTCCTCAGGAGCCCTCGCTGGCAACCTGGAGACTTCACATCAACAGAAGCTCCTGTGGACACCCTGACAGCAGCAAGAGACCCCCACAAGCATCTCCTTCTGCCCTAGGACCTCACAGGAGCCCAGCCCTCACTGGTACACGGTGACGCCAGAACACCAGGCCATGTGAGTAGATGGCAACGTGACGACCATCTGAGGAAAACGAAAGTTACCCGTTCTCTACCCTTAAAGTCTCCAGTCAGGCCATGGGGCCAGACAGGCCACAGCATAGCCTGGCCTGCCCATGAGCCCCAACATAGCCAGGGCAAGGCGACAGAAAGGCATGGGTCAAAATCATTCTATAGGAAGGCGCCAGGAGACTGTCCTACCCCCTTGCGTCACCATGGAAGCCATAGCCCTGTCAGGAGAGAAAGGAGAGTGGACAATACTCCCTTCAGTCCCATCTGGCCACCTGTGGTCTGCAGTCTCAGGATAGGCAGACAGGGGACCCTACCCCAAACTGTTCACTCTGCCACTTCTCTCCTGAGTCCTGCCTCAGCTGGAGTCACCACCACCAATCCCAAGTCCCCAAGCATCACTGTGCTGGCTGCCCTGCACAGCCTCTAGGGCCTGACCTCCCTCATCTATGGCCAAGGCCCCAGCTGCCCCCACACAGCCACGTGGCTAAGCTGGGGTCAAGCCCTCCCCACACAGGAAGTCACATTTGACATGCCATGATGGGAGCAGCAGGGGACATCACCAAGTCACCCTGACCGAACTCAGTCCAGAACAGACCCCACACACAGGTCTACACACCAGGAGGAAAAGCCTGGGCTTTTCATTGCTACCATTCTGAAAAACTGGGACCCCCAGGAAGGAGGTAGAGCCCTTGGGGAGCAGTGAGGAGCGGGACTGCCAAGCCTGCTGGCTTTTATCAGAAGCAGGGCTCAGTCCTCACCAGCAGTCCAAAGAAACTTCTCTGGCCACGTTTCAGAGTAGTGGGTCTCTGGATGCTCCCCTACTGCCGTGCCTGCCCAGAACCTTCCCACCCATTTCAAGCTGCCTTCCGTTCTATGACTGAGATCCAGAGTCTCCGTGTGCTGGGCCTCAGCTGCCATTTCTGGGTGGCCCTTTCCCACTGACCCTTCTGGCCCCCTGCCACCTACAACTTTGCCTTCATCTTCATTGTGGTCCTCTAGGTGCACAGGTGGGAGGTTCCCAGATGTCAACACAATCACCTGCAGTCACTTTCCCTGCAAACAGAGCAGGGACACATGGACTCACAACCATCAGCCAACTCGGAAACACTCCGTCCAGGAGAACTGATTCTGCCGGAGAAACGGTATCTTCCATCAAGGAAACTTGCTCGTGGGTGTAAGGGTTACCAACAAAAACAGAGGCTTGCACTGTAGTGAAATGTACAGGACCCAAGACGCCACAGGAAAAGGGAAGAAATGACATCCATTCCTCTTCTCCTCTGAACGCAAACAGTGACAGTGCAGGACGGGAAATGTCCAGGTTTAGAGGAGCCAGAACCCATCAAGTAGAGCAGGTGGAGAATGCACAGGCAGAACAAGAAGTAGATGCTGGCCATGATGACGGAGATGGGGCTGCAGGGCCCCCTGAGAATTCCAGAAGACCTGCCTCTGGCTCTTAGCAAAAAGTCACTCTTGAGGGAAGCCAGCAGCCACCACTATCATGCACTGAGAGGCGGCTTCTCAATTCTTCCCAAACTGCCCAGTCCAAGAGTGGATGGCTCCGTGCCATGCCTATGATGTGAAAACCTCCAGCTCTGGTGACCCTCCTGGTGAAGCCTGACTTCCCACTTTGGCTCTTGAGGCCACTGCCCAGGGCTGGAGCCGCATGCATGCCAGGTCCTGCGTCAGCTGGGTGGATACAGAGCTGTCTCGAGACATACTCGCAGTGGACTCCTTGGTTGCTCTGCCAACCAGATCTCCATGGCTCTTGCTGTACCCCTGGAGGGAGCTCTGAAAGTCCTGATGTGGATGCCAACCTGGCTAAACCTAAACAGGCCTGCTGGAAAAGGACAGTGTTTCCTATGCCCCTGAAGGAAAGATGGAGTGGACACATCTCTCCCACGGCCTAGAAGTGTGTGCAGGCCTCACCAAATCACTGCCGTGCTGCTTCTCCTGGGTGGCTGGCCCTCAGGCCACAGGCCACACCTGGACAATGCTCCTTCTGCAGCCCACCGCTGGCTCCCTGCTCAGATGGTCTGGCTAGTCCTGGCTGGAGCCACTGTGGCCTGTGTAGCCTCCAGAGCATTCTTGCTCTGTGTGCACCCCCAGAGGCCAGCATAAGCTCCACTAGGCCTCCTTCCCAGCTGTTGTGGAGGGCAAGTACTGGCCCGCAGAGTGAGAGGGGAGCCCAGCTCTGCCCGGGAGGCCAGTGGGACACACCGGGGGGCGTCTGCCCTGAAGGCCAGCTCTCCCATATGGACCCATTTTCCGCTCCAAGCCTAGGGACCTGAGATGGGAGCCGTTTCCATCAGTCCTGCCTTCTAGAAAGTATGTCAACATCTCGCCTTTGCCCTTGACACTGACTTTGCCTCGGCACACAAAGTGGTAGGAGCACCTTCTCAGCAGCCGGTGGACTTCCTCAGTCACCTGTCAGTGGAGAGAAGAGAGCATTACTCTAGGTCACAGGCAACAAGGTGGGTCCTCTGTGGGTTGGGAGCCACACGGTGTAGCAGAGAAAGACCAGGACGGAACATTCCATCCTGCATCTGTTTCTGTTCACCCTGACTGCCCGACTCTAGAAGCACCTGGATATGGCTTCCCCAGCTCAGCCTGGCAGCTGGGGCCCCCACTCCTGCAACAATCACTCGGGTCACCCCATAAGGACACGATCCTGCAAAGATAGTCCAAGGGACTCAAAAGGGCTTACGGGGCCAGCCTCGGGAGTACTACTGCTTGTTTCCTGGACAATAGGAAGAGGCAACATTCACTGAGCAGGTCCCTTGGTCTGGGAAGGGCAACTTAGGGAGTTTCCAGATGGGCAGGCCAGTAGGGACTCAGCACCCAGGTCTGGGCATAAGCTGCCATGGTGGCTGTGTGCACTCCCTGCCAGAGGCTGTGTGGGATCTAGCTCCAGATGCTGGGAATGGAGAGGGTTCAGGGCTCTGGACACCTCAGCAACCCAGGACGTTTCCAAGTCAGGGCACACACAGTGCAGGATGCAATGTGTGCCACCACAGCTGAAAGAAGACAGCAGAGAGTAAAGCCCAGAGCAAGTTCAGATTTCCAACCCTCCGATGGGCACAGCTGCACTGGGATGGGAGTGTAAACCCGCCCATTCCTGGGTCTTGGCTGCAGCTGCCTCTGGGACCTCGGGATGGGGGTCACCAATATACACAGAGTGGTGGGCAAACCATCCAAAGAAAGCAGGGACGTTACTTGACTCCTCTGTCTCTCAGATTCATAACCAGCACTTCAGCCCAAAGAAATTTCTGATTCACAAAATTAAAAATATATATATAAAGAAGGAGAAAGTACCTCCTATGAGATATAATCAGTTCTGTGAACAGAAGATACATGATTCGTGTCTCTGCTTTATGCTGGAGGAGTCATCTTGGATCCGCCTGTCTCCCTCCCCATCTCCCTGGCTGCTCCTTCCCATCCCACACATGCTTGTCTGAACTCTGGCAGCTTTCATTAAAGCAGCTCAATCCCTGCCAAGCCCAACTTTTCACGGCTCCTGGCAGAGCTGTGGAGAGCGACCCCTGGCAGTGTGGCAGGGGTGCTGGGGAGCTGAGCAGGGGTGGGAGGAAGGACAGAGGCCCTGCATGTGCAAGGGTGATACCTGGGCAGCAGGGGGACACCTGGAGGGGAGCAGGGCCCAGGCAAACTGTGCACGATGTGAGAGGCGAGAGAGGCAAGACAGGGCAGTAGAGTGGCAGGCTCAGATCTGATCTTAGAAAATTAAACAAGCAACACTGGTGCAGGGCAGTGTCCAGGCTGGTGTGGGTGGGATAGGCTCCCACAGAGTACTACCCTGGGGAGTACCCAGTTTTAGAGGAGGCCTGCAGAAGAGTGCGGGCAGATGATCATGTTAAAAAAAAAACATAATGCAAAAGTTCTGGAGATGGATAGTGGTGATGGTTGCACAGCCAGGTGAACATTCTTAATGCCACTCAACTATACACTGAAATATCATAAGAGGAAGCATTTTATGCATGCTTTGCCACAACAAAAGATTTTTTAAGATGTTGAAAGAGCAGGCAGAAGTGCAGAGGTGCTGCCTGGAAGCCCCCATCTATGTTTCATGAAGTTTTCCACCTGTCCCTTAAACTGTCCTCAGAGACTAGCCACCATCATGCACCGGGGACCAGGTCCTTCGTGGTCCATGGAGGTCTGCAGTTCCCAGGCCGGGCAGCCATGGGGCTGAGTGGGCCCTCACAAGCTCCATCTGACCCATGGGGGCTTCATCCAGGGGTCATCAGAACTGGGGAAAGCATCAAGGTTGTTGTAAGTGAAGTCTCAGAAACTAGACCACACAACCTCTCCATGGCTCTCAAGGGCACTGTGGCCACCATCTCTCATCCCATCTGAGCTGTCCACAGGTTCCTGGGATGGAGTGGGCACCCATAACACTCTCCCTTAAAATACAAGAGAAAAAGTCCTTCCCTCCTATGGGAGAGGGCTCGGGGCCGGATACCTGGAAAGTGTGAGGGGAACAGGAACAGCCGGGCCACCGGGCTCAGCAGAACCCTGTGTCACAGCGTTTCCGGCTCTGCAACTGGTCATTTAGGGACCAGCTTTCATGACCTCATGCCAAACCAAACATCAAAATCAAACTGCCAGGGCCGGGACATGCCCTCAAGAGCTGACAGACTTGGGAGATGCAGCTCGCTCCACCCTGCTACCTACTGGCTGTTCAACCCCTGCCCCTTGTGCCTCTGTCTCCTCACCTGCAGAATGGGCACCTGGGGCTTGGGGATTTCTAGGTGAACTGACCTGGATTCTGCCCTGGACCCCAGTACTGTCCATCCGACTGGCCACATTGACTGTGTTTCCCCAGATGTCATACTGGGGCCTGCGAGCGCCAATCACTCCGGCCACCACGGGGCCAACGTTGATGCCTAGAAAACAGCCAGCATGTGACATGTGGTTAGCTTGGAAAAGTGTCACTCGTCCTGCCAGGGTCACCCAGTGGTGAAGAAGAGGCTGCTCCTTTCAGGGTCTTTTTTACTGAGGTCACATGGCTCCAAGCTCCTTCCTGGGCAGCCAGGAACCATGTAAGTTGCCAAAAATGATTCCTAATCCCAAGGGAAAATTCCACTTCCTGGAACATCGGTCCCTGTGCCAAGTCTTGCTGCTGGTGTCACCAAGAAGTCTGACCTTTCGGTCTCTATGATCATGGTGTACATCCCCAGTGGCATCCTCTTTCCAGAAAAATGGTAGCCTTCTAACCTTTTTTTCAGGATACGACACTGTGGCTACTTTAGGGTGAGAATCCCAGAACTGAACACGATGGTTCAGGATTCTCTGAAGGAAGGGGCTGGAAGACCCTTCTCTTTTTGTAGCTCAGGATCCAACTGGACACTGGGCAGCTGCAGACCCGCTGCACAGCCTCATAACAACCCAGGTACACCCCAGTTTGAATCATCCCTTGTGCGACTTTCAGCAATGTGCTCACCCTCTCTGGGCTTGAGCTCTCTCCTCTGTACATGGAGTACATACTTAGCTGTGACCCACTGGCCTTTTCTTGGCAGGACATTGGGGTGGCAGGAAGGCAAGCACACTGTTGACTCTGCCTGGTGGCTGCCTCCTGAAACTTCAGTGCTCTGACCTGGGCTGAGGTCACATCCTATCTTCCCCTTCTGTGCGGGTGGACTGATTTTTCTGAGCTTGTCCTCATAAATTCCCCTGAAATCCTGGGCCATGGAGGGCTGGTATGGCACAGGAGGAGCGTGAAGGGGGCACAATAGCAGTGTGAGCTGGAGCAGGTGGGCATGGGAAACCCAGAGAGCAACCCCAAAGGGCCACTTCCCTGATGGCTGGTAGGACTTAGGGAGGCCCCTCTGCCAACCCAGACACCTCCACCCACATTCAGGAGAGTTAGCCAGTGCCAGCCCAAGAGACTCTTGTCCAGCACCACTGAATGGCCAGCCAGTGAGGAACAGGGAAAGGCTTGGCAGCTAGTTCTGTTGTGGGAAAGTGAGAAACAGTTTCCCTGACCCACCACCAGATCTCTTTCTGGTCACATCAGCACATCTACTGATAAGATCCTGAGACCCAGCTGGTTTACTCTGCCCTGTCCTCAGGTGGGACATCATGCCTAATACAAAGGTTGCATTTCAGGACATCAAACTCCACCCACTCTAAAGTGGATCACCTTCAACCACCCTCCACAGGCAAATACTGTTCCAAGGTTTGTTTTTAAGGCCAGTAGATGCTTGATTCTAAAAATTCGAGAACCTCTAGTTTAAATTAATCCGGGACTAGTAGAATGTTTTTCTGTCCACATCTCAGAAAAAAAAGTGAATTTAGGATTAAAATATTCCCAACGAACCATATTTTTATAAATGCTAGACAGGAAGTAAGACATCAAATATCTTTCCCTTCTCACTACAGAGGTGAGGGAAGGAGCCCAGAGAAGACATGGCCTGTCTGAGTCTGTGCAGTGGGGCTCCCGCCAAGGTCTCTTTCGAAGTAGCCTACATGGCCTCAACTTCATATTGCCAGGGCAGACTGACCGGCCGGGGAAGGAGCATTTTCCTCCAGCTAAGTATGGCCTTGGAGAAGCACCTGAAAGTCTCCAGGATCCAGATTTCTTTTTTTTTTTTTTTTGAGTTAGAGTCTCACTCCGTCACCCAGGCTAGAGTGCAGTGCCACACTCATGGCCACCCCAGGACTTGCTAGGCTCTGGCGATCCTTCTGCCTCAGGCTTCCAAGTAGCCAGAACTACAGGCACACGCTACCATGCCCAGCTAATTTTTTATTTATTGTAGAGACAAGGTCTTGCCAAGTTGTCTGGGCTGTTCTCGAACCCGCAGGCTCAGGCAATCCACTCGCCTCGACCTCCCAAAGTGCTGGGATTACAGACTGAGCCACTGAGCCCAGCCAGGATCCAGATTTCTAATGTGTTTCATGAGCTGGACAATGAATCTCCAAAGTCCTAGGTCACTTTCCAAAGCATCTCCACTTCCACAAGGGGCTTTCAGGGCAACTGTGCTCCTCCATCCCCAGTCACTCCTGGGCAGCACCACCCTCCTTCCTGCAAGACCAGGGCACCCCATCAGCTGACTGTGTCCCTACAGGTGGGTGTAGGAAGGGTATTCACCCATCGCAACTGACTGATGTGATAGGTTTACAGCCACTTACCGACTCGAAGGACAAAGTCATTGTATGACTGGTAGTTGATTTCATCAAGGACATCAAACATCTCGATGGCAAAGTCCGCCAATGTGCTCAGGTGGGAGGAGATGGACTTCTTAGCCTACGTGTGGACAGGCAGGAATCATTACACCTGTGGTGGGCACCAGGGTGGGAGGGGGCAGGAAACAACCTGCAGTGGTAGTGGGATTGGGGGTTTTGTTCCTATATCAACAACACAGCAGCCCTGTGGCCTGCAGATGCTCTGTGTGCTTGGCTGGGGGCACATTTTTCATTCTATTCTACAGGTAGGAGATTGGGGTAGAGGCAGGGTATTGTCCAAACCCTGGCTCCTGAGGGCCAGAGATGGGACTCAACCAAGGATGTCTGCAGGAGTCAGGTGGGGCAGCCCTTGTGAGTGAAAGACTAGGTGTCCAAACTCCTGCTTGGACAATGTTGTCACCACCCATTGCAAATGAGCAAAACAAGGACAGAGACACATGTCAGGGAGTAGTGCCAACTTTCTTCCTTAAGATCAAGACTATCTTTGGGTATATGTGTGACAAGGTCCTTTCTTTTGCAAAACAGTGACAGTTGCAAGGTTCCTAATATTTGTGTTTTGTTTTTTTCCCCTCAGATCTCCCTTGGAGAAATAATCTAATTTTTATTTTTAAAGGAAATCGTATTAGTTCTCAAAATTAGGGAACTAATGTTTTTCAAAAAAGAACAGACTTTATTTTTTAGGTCAATTTTAGGCTTATAGGTAAACTGAGCAGATAGTACAGAAAGTTTCTATTTGCCCCTCTCCCCCCATATTCAGTTTCCCCCATTGGTAACATCTTGCATTAGTGTAATTTTACACTAATGTAAATTCTGGTGTAAATTCTGGTCTGGTCACATGGCTCTTTGAGCTATGATCACCATGTTTTCCTAGCTTTGGCTCCCTCCTCTATCTTGGGGAGGTGAATCTCTTCTCTCTTTCTCTCTAATTTTTAAATAAACTATATTTTCCAATTTAAAAAAATCTACAGATCAAGTTTAGAAGAGCTGACATCTTAGCAATATTGACTCTGTAGGAACATTAAATCTCCATTTATTTAATTTTTGAATACTTTCATTACATATTGTATATATTTCATCAGACTTATAACTAGTAATTCATTTTTGGAGTACTCATGTAAATAACATTGTGTTTATAGTTTTAAATTCAAATTGTTCACTGTGGGATACACAGGAAAGCAGTTAACTTTTTTTTTTTTTTTTTAGTTGGAGTCTCACTCTGTCGCCCAGACTGGAGTCCAGTGGCTGCTCCCGGCCACCACAGCTCAACCTGCTGGGCTCCAGCGATCCTTCCGCTTCAGGCTTCCAAGTAGCCAAAATTACAGGCATGTGCTACCACACCTGGCTGATTTTTTTATTTATTGTAGAGATGAGGTCTTGCTGCCCAGGTGGGTCTCGAACCTGCGGGCTCAGGCAATCCACTCACCTCAGCCTCCCAAAGGCACGGGATTACAGGCTGAGTCACCAAGCCCGGCTTAGTTAACTTTTATATATTAACTTTGTGCCCTGAAATCTTGCTATCAACACTTACTTGTTCCAGGAGATTTTGTTGTTGTTAAATTTTTCAGAATTTCTACATATACAGTCAAGTTACTGGCAAACAGATTCTTTCCCAATCTGTGTGCCTTTTATTTCCTTTTCGTGTCTTATTGCCTTTGCTAAGACTTCTAGTACAATATTGAATAGAACTGGTGAGAAAGGACATTCTTGCCATGTTCTGATCTTAGGGAGAAAGCAGCTAGTTTTTCACCATTTGGCATAATATTAAGCTGTAGGTTTTCTGCAGATATTCTTTATCAAATGAAGGAAGTTTCCTTCTATTCCTAGCTTATTTATTGAGAGGTAATTTCTTCCTTAAACATTGAATGGAATTCACCAGTGAATGCATCTGGGCCTGGTGCTTTCTGTTTTGGAAGGTTATTAATTATTGATTCAACTTCTTTAATAGACATAGATTGATTCAGAATGCCTATTTTTATTTACTCACAGTTCTTCTTTGGGAAAGGAGAGTGCAGGGCTTGCAAGAGGAGAGGAGAGGGGGCCAGCGGGGAGTGGGGCCAAGAGGTTGAACTGGCTATGAGGAGGGCAGGTGGGAAAGAGGAGGGAGGGAGCAGGAGGAAGAGTCTGGGGGAGGACTCTGGTGGGGGGTAGTCTGGCAGGAAGGAGCTGGGGCTGGAGGAAGCCCCTGTGGCCACCAGCCTTCTGTGCTGACTTTCCTTAGAAGGTTGTGTCTGCAGAATCCCAGCCACTGACAAAACTGCTTTAGAGTCACTCCCCTAACCCAATGCAGAGGAGAAACAGACCCCAGTGGGAACCTACCCTGGGTCCCAGAGTGGTTTGGGCTGGGCTGAGATCCTGTCCCCGAGTGGTACTCACTTTGGCTCCGGAGGCGGGCGCCAGCCCTACTGCAGCCATGTAGGTGCTCCCAATGGTCTTGATCTTCTCCAGGTCCTTGTAAAAGTCTTTTTCCATGAGCTTTGTTTAAAACACAAAACTGTTAAACATGACATAACATTTGAGGAACATCATCACAGCCATCAGCCTCCAGGAGCAACAGCAGAGCCAATGAACACATTCCAGAAAGCAACGTATCTTCTGTGCTTTGGGAACCAGACAAATTCTGGGACTACGTTGAAAAGAAGAGGTGAGGAGGGACAAGACAGAAAGCATCCCTGTCCCCACAGCTGAGCTCATGGTCACTGGGAGAATCGGGTTCTCTGATTCAGCGGGGCTGGCACAGTGCCCAGCTAGCCATGGATGGGGCTGTAGGTATCCACCTGCCTGCCCATCTGTAGATGAGAATGCCCAGCCCTGCCCTCTGCAGAGGTCCAGCCCCAACGTTTACAATGCAGAAGACAGCCACCCAGCCCTACTTAGGGACTCTGGTCCCCCCTCCTGGGGCCAAGACCCTCTTCTTTACTGTCCTGGTCTATCTGGACCCCAAGAGAGACAGGATGCCTGTGCTTCCTGGGATTTGTTTTCTCCCCATTCCATCTCCAGAGGACGTGACTTATTGTTGGACAAGCAGGATTTAATGAGGGATATCCTCGTGCCCTCTGGCCTGCCCAGGGTCAAGATGGTGAAGTGTGGCCCTTACCTCATCAAAGTCGGCAATTATCTCATTAAGGAGCCGCAGACATTCCACCCCCATGTTGTTGCCATCCAGCTCGATGTAGAAGTCATTGAAGTTGGGGATGGAGGCAAACATGACGCCCACCTGGGAGTAGGACTGGTAGTAGAGGTCCTGGAAGTTCAAAGGACGGGTCAGCCCAGCCGGCGCCGAGGGCGCAGCCAGAGAGCAGCGCCCGGCTAGTGCCGGCCAGACATCACGGGCCGGTTGCTCACCATGTTCCGGGGGTTGGACATGAGGAAGTGCTGGGCGACGTGGGCCGGCAGGAGGTTGAAGAGGATCCTCCTGTTGTCCAGCTTCACCCTCTCCATGTCCTCTCGCTCCTCTTCTGCCTGAGGGTTGTGAACCTTGGTGAGTCCTGCCCATCCATGCTGCCTCCACTCACCCCTGTTCCTCACTCCCTTCTAATCTTTCAGCCTGAACTGCACACGCGATGATGGTCTACACCCACACTCCTGTCCCTCCTCCTGACCAGACCCATGTTACCAGGATGCAAAGATCCACAAACACCTGCCTATGTCACCACCCCATCATCTGGAATGTCCAAAGCACAGACAGTGGCTTCACCCCACTTCCAGTGTCTCCTCTGCCCCTGGCCACCTCCTGGGTACCAGAGGCCACAGCCGGTCCCCCAGGCAGACCTGATGTATCCCCCAGGGCACCCATCCTAGAATGCCCAGAGCCAGGAAGGGTAGATGACTTCGTAAGGCTCCTGTTTCCTCTAGTATCTCTCTGGCCTCCACTAGAGCTCACGTCCCTCTGGGCACTGAGACAGATAAAAAGCTGCGAGGGCCCAGGTGAGGACAGATTCAGGCCCAAGGAGCTCAGTGAGTGCTGACTCCCAGTGCCCTGAAGCAGAGGGTGAAGTCCCTGTGGGTCCCATAAGGGGGACACGGAAGAGCAGATGGCAGGAGCAGGGTGAAACCCAGCTCACTTATGGCTCTCTGTAGGACTTTGCAGAGACAGATTAAACTGACAGCAAAGGCCACACTCATGGGTCACTGCAAGGGTTCAAAAAGTGCCACCAGGCAGGGCCCAGTACAGCTCTAAGAAGCAGAAGCCACTGAGATCCCTGTTTGTCCTTCGCACAAAACCCAACTGGTGAAAGAAACACAGCTTGAGGAAATAGTCTAAGTGTGTGTCAGCATTTTAGAGGACACCAAACTCGTGAATGTCATAAAAAGTAAACCATGATGCCCTTGTTGATAGTCCTGTAGCCTGGCCACCTTCATGTTCCCTTATGTGGCAGGTGACATGGCAGCAGATGCAGCTTCACTATGCTACAGTTTCCTGGCTGTAAATGGGTATAATGTACCCCTTTTTAGAGGCACCATTCCTAAGGTTGCCTTAACAAGGGTCAAGGAAACAGCAAACTGCCCAGTAAGCCTAAAGAGTAGAGTTGACTTTTGGTAGTACTGTCAACAGAGTGAAGTTGTCCAATTGCATGCCACTAGATTTCATGCAGTGATTCTACCAGCTAAAATCAAGAAGCAGAGATTTTCAAGGACATGCGAGGGGGCCCAGAGCCACAAGGGCCAGGCATAAGAACCCTTGACCACAATGGTGTGAGTGAGGACAGGATGGGCAGATCTGGAGCTGCCTGGGTCTCTTCCAGTGAGTACATTCTGGGAAAACAATGCCAATGAGTCCATGTAACCCACAGAGACAAACAACGTGATGTGTTTTCTTTCCTGCTTGTTAAACAGGGCAGATCAGCAGCAGACAAGGACAAAAGAAAGAAATTCAGGGGCCATAACTTCCCTGGTCAGACCACAGCCAAGGTCTAGATGCCCATACAGATCAGAGCCAATTCTGCAAACAGCAGGCCATGGACTCGGGAAATTCTGAGATGGTCGGTGTTGGGGGCAGAAGTAGCACACGGGAAAGGGAGCACTGGCCCCATGCAGTGGCTACCTGGGTGCGGGGGCTGGCAGCATGAAATCAACAGCTCACTCAGGGTCACGGTCAAACACCTCTGGTTTCCAGCCTCTGAGGGTCCCTGAAGCTCCTTTCAACTCGTATTCCCATCAGTAACAACATGCTGGACACACACCTCTCTATGGGACATGCATTAATAACTATAAGTCAACATGCTTGCTCTCACATACACAAAATAAGCATGCGTAAAGGGTGAGATAAAGAGGAAGTAAATCATGTTCTTAAAGTAATAGTTTTGATAGTAGACCCAAAGCTTTGGGATGTGGCACTGCTCTCAATGAATCTTCCACAGACGGAGGTTACCATAGGCATTTAGAGACATAATTTTCAGCATACTCCCTTGGCCCAGGTATGGGTTTAAAACTTAGAAAACTCAGAGCTTCCAGGCAAGATGGCGATGGAACAGTTTGAACTGTGAGAGTCTCTGCAAAAACTAGTGTCCATAAAGACTCTCTGTATGAGTGGGTGAGTGCTGGTGGATGAGTGAAAGTCTGTCTGAGGGGAGACTTGGGTTCATACACCCAGGGCTCTCCTCCGGAGGTGACCATAACCAACCACCACCCTGAGATTGGAGACCTGGGTGCACAGGATTGTCTGCCATTCTCAGGGCTCTCTTGAGAGGAGGCAGCAGAAAACAGTTGCCCCTCACCACCTGGCACCCTGCACACATTATCACCTGCAGTAGACCACGTACAAGCAGAAGGAACTGTGGAGAAGGCAAGTCATGGAAATCTGGAATAAAGCTCCAATGCCAGTGATGAGACACTGGTGGGCACCATCTTCTCAGTCCTGGGACTAGGCAGAGACCTGTATTGCCCTGCCCAGCTCCATCCAGCCTCCATCTGGGGAACCAGAGGGTTATCCTCTCAGTGGACTTGGAGAGACAGACACCTCTCCTCCATGCTGGAACAGACACAGACATGTCAGATCTGAGTGGGAGACTTGACAGCAACAGCAGCGGGTAGAGTGAGTCCAGATCTGATTCATCCTCCTCCCAGAGTAGTCCATGGGACATCTGGCCCACACTGAAAGCAACCCTATCAGCATGCAATGAGAGCAGAGGTGAGGGACTGGAGACCAGAGTTGCTCCCAAAAAGGGAGGGGCAGCCAAAAGAAATCTGGAGTTACAGAAATGGCCACAATGCAAGTTTTTTTTTTTCTTTTTCTTTTTGTTTTAGTCTTTTGCTTTTTCCCCCCTTTCTGTTTTTGTTTACATTTTTGTACTTGTTTGTTTCTGTTATTTTAAATTTTTTTTAGATTTTCTGTTTGTGCATGGGTATTTTTGAGGGAGAGCACACCAGCAGAGGGGTTTCTGTTTGTTGGCATGATTGTCTGCATGCATATGTCTTTTTTATTTTTCTCTCTGTTTCTCTGTTTATTCATTAGTTGGTATGCCTGTCTCTTTTCCCTCTTCTTCTTCTTCTTCTCTCTCCACCTTTCTCTCATCTTCTTCCTTCCTTTTTCCATTTTTTTCCTTTTTATTACCTCATTTTGTTTTCGAGGTGCAAACATATGCCCCCCCCCCCGCATGGACAGATTGTAAGGCAGTGGGAAGTGGATTCCAGGGGGCCACACACCTGTCAGCAGACACTGGGATCTGCAGATAGCTTCTGAATCACAGCTACCCCCTTAATTAAATCTCAAAACTATAAAAAGCACAGGCCCCCTCCCCTAGTCCAGCTTAAGAATTGAAGAAAACCAGAGGATATACATAAGGAAGAAAAGGAGACTGAGCAAACAGATATAAAAGCTATCCCCCCATCCCTGAACAACAGAATTAAAGAAAATGTAAAAAAAAAGGGGGGGGGAACCTACACAAATGAAGAAAAACCAAAGGAAGAATATGAGTCTCACACAAACCCCTGGGAGGTCAGCTAATGAGAATATAGACTCTGGAACTCAAGCAATGAAGAGCCCCCAGAATGACTGGTCTCAAACCACAAGCCCAGGTATCAAGACATTAATAGAGAGAATAAATAGAAATGAGGAGAGACAAGAGGAGAGAATGAAGGAGTTGATAACTGAGATAACAGCAATAAAAAAATACAGTGTTTTGATGATTGTAGCTTTATAGTAAAGTTTGAAATCTGGTATTGTGATACCACCTGCTTTGATTCTACACTGTTGGTGGGAGTGTAAACTAGTGCAACCTCTGTGGAAAGCAGTGTGGCGATTCCTAAAAGCTCTAAAAATTGACCTTCCATGTGACCCTGCAATCCCCCTACTGGGAATATACCCTGAAGAACACAAATCACTCTATAAAAAAGATACCTGCACACGTATGTTTATCGCAGCATTGTTCACAATAGCAAGAACCTGGAAACAACCATGCTGCCCATCAAAAGAGGACTGGATTAAAAAAATGTGGTACATATACACGATGGAATACTACGCAGCCATAAAAAAGAACAAAATCATGAATTTCGCTGCAACCTGGATGGAACTAGAGTCTATAATACTGAGTGACCTCTCACAAAAACAAAAATCCGAATATCACATGTTCTCACTCATATAATGGACCTTGAACATCCAATGCAATACTATGAGAAAATGACGGATGGTACTGGGAAACTATGGGGGGGAGGGGGATGGGATTAACAGTAGCAAATATCTGTCGGGGGATGGGAAAACACTTCTTATCTACAGGGTGCCTGAATGAAACGTCATTGTACACCTACCCTTAACTGTACCCCACAAAACCATAATAAAAACTACTGATTAATGAAAAAAAAAAAATACAGTGAGTGAAATAAATGACAAACTGATAAGCATGGAAAACAGAAGTAACCAAGCAGAAAAAAGAATCTCAGAGCTTGAGGAAATTTGGAAACCAAAATATGGAACTAACCCAAACTGTTAAAAACATAGAAAAGAAGCTTAAAAACACAGAATAAAACCTCCAAGAGATGAGTGATTATTTCAAGAGGCCAAACATAAGATTAATTGGAATCTCTGAGGCAAATAGAGAGACAGAGACAACCCTGGAACAAAATTATCCAAAATTATCCAAGAAAACTTCCCTCACTTCAACAGTGATGTGACCATTCAAACATAAGAGATTCGGAGAACCCCTGAAAGACAACAAATGAGAAGACTGACTCCTAGACACATAGCAATTTGCCTACACAAAGTAAGTATAAAAGAAAAAACCTAAAGGCAGCAGGTGAGAAAGGTCAGACTACCTACCAGGGAAGACCAGTTAGAATAGTAGCAGACTGATCTACAGAAACACTTCAGGCTAGGAGAGCTTGGAACCCAATCTTCAAAGTTCTCAAAGATAAACAATTTCAACCAAGAATTACCTACCCAACTAAGCTAAGTTTCAACAGTGATGGAGAATGAAAATCCTTCCCAGACATTCAGTCCCTAAGAGTTTCTACTGCTTCCAGACCAG